GTTGAGTCGGATGCGTCTACTTCGATGCTAATGGGTGCTTGAGTGCCCTGATGAGCAAGCATTATTGCTTTAGCGATAAGTTTCTTAATTGTGGAGAATGCTTTTCGTGCGGTGTCGTCCAGATTGATGGATTTCGCATTTCCACGAAGTTGATCGGTAAGAGGCTTCATAAGCGATGCGCATTTCGATATGAAACGTTAATGGAAACTTACGAGGCCGTTAAACGTGCGTAATTGCTTGACGATGGTCGGTTCTGGGTAATCCAGAATGGCCGCCACTTTGGTTCTAAGGGGTCGGATACCTTGAGCATCGATAGTGTGTCATAGGAAGTCTAATGAGTCAGCTTCGATTTGGCATTTCTGGACGTTTACAGTAATGCCATGTTTTTGTAGTCAGTTGTAAACAAGATCCAGATGCTTGAGATGCGATTGTCTGTCCGGACTTGCGATTAGACAGTCGTCAACACACGCATGTACGAAGTTGAGACCTCGAAAAACGTCGTCTATGAATCTTCGGAATGTTTGATCAGCGTTTCTTAGACCGAAAGGCATTCGCAAAAATTCATAGAGTCCGAAGGGAGTTATGATGGCTGTTTTCTGTATGTCGTCAGTAGCCATAGGCATTTGGTTATACGCTTTAACCAAGTCGATTTTCGAAAAGACAGTTGTACCTTTCAAGGTAGCTGTCAAATCGTGAATGTGAAGCAACGGGTAACGATCGGGAATGGTTTTCGCGTTCAATCGCCGATAGTCACCAGTTGGACACCAATCGTTGCTGTCCTTTTTAGGGACCATGTGCAACGGAGATGCATATGGGCTACTTGACGGTCGTATATGTCCTAAGTCTATCACATGGTCAAACTCGTTTTTCGCCAACCTCAGCTTTTCAGGAGCTAGTCGTCGTGCTTCAGAAAATACAGGTGGTCCTGTAGTCGTGATGTGGTGTGTAACGTTGCTGGTTACACACGGTAATCTCGGTTGCGTTTGTTGTATCCCAGGTGGTTTATAGAGTGGGTCTATCATATGCTTAATTGTGACTGGGGATAATCTGCAACCAGAAAAAGAAGTTAAGCAAACGGATAATTTAGTGTTCCCGTCTACTAGCCTCCATTTGCGCGTGTCGATGATTAGATTACGGTGTTGTAGAAGGTCCATACCAATGATTGGCATAGAAACATCTGCAACAACGAAAATCCATTGAATGGCTTTGCGTAAACCCACGTTCAGGTAAACGTACGTTTTGCCGTACGAAGCGATAGGTTTCCGTTTGCCGCCTGTACGTTTGAAGACAATTCGTGAAGTCGGTCGTCAGAATCCTCTGGGAGAACGCCAACTTCTGCTCCAGTGTCGACGAGGTAGCGAACTCTCGTTGTCACATCTGTGACGTGTGGCAGACGTCTGTGTTCGCCGGCTACGGTTGCCGTTAACGCGTGCCCGCTTGGAAGTTTCCCGAGTTGATTTTCGAGTCGGTCGGTTTTGACTTAGGAAAATTGCAAGTGTAGATCACCAGCGTAGATGATCTATGTCGGAAATGACTGGAGGCCTACTCGAGTTAGACGTGAATGGTGTGACGAACCAACTAACGTTGAAGTCATATACAGTGGTCAGCACCCTACGTGGACTACCTCATTGACGTATCAAGGTACTGTATATGCTTTGAAGACTGGACACCACAAAGGACATTGCTACAGAATCATATTAGTTAAAGTAGATACAAGCGATAGTAAGACCACCACCTAATGGGCCAGTCCATTGTGTACGACTAGATAATGCACACTGGTCGTCATTTACCTTGACAGGGATCGATGATCGGTTTGATATTCAGTGATCCAACCCCCTGATGATTTGACTAGGGCTTATTCACATTTCACTGGCCCCACACTATGCTCAAAAAAATCAAAGTTCGCTTTACGTATCAAGAATATGTGACTAATTATTGTAGCACTTACAGTATTGTTATACACAGTTCCCGTATATGCTAAGAAACCAGACAGAAATGGCTATCAACGTCAATTGTTACTCATACCATTTTTCTTCCTCAGATACGTTACATAATAATATGTCAGTTCAGTCAGAAACGACAGTATATGTAAAAGGTTTACGAGCTTATTTTTGATTGAAAATATGACCAGGTTCTATTTTTGACTTGATAAATGCTGATTTTCACTTGGTTGAGTTTGTATTGTTACGAATAATCACATTAGGCTGAATAAACTTTCATCCAGGTTGTGAGCAACAAACACTTCGAATTACCGATTACCTACTTACTTACGCCTGTTACTCCTAATGGAGCATAGGCCCCCGACCAGCATTCTCCAACCCACTCTGTCCTCCGCCTTCGTTTCTAGTTCCATCTAGTTCTTGTTCACTTTTCTCGTGTCTATTTCCATTTCCCGGCGTAATGTGTGCTTTGGTCTTCTTCTTTTCCTTTGGCCTTGAGGATTCCATGAGAGGGCTTGTCTTGCGACGCAGTTGGGTGCTTTCCTCAATGTGTGTCCTATCCAATTCCAGCGCTTCTTCCTAATTTCTTCCTCCGCTGGGATCTGGTTTGTTCTTTCCCACAGTTGGTTGTTGCTAATAGTGTCCGGCCAACGGATCCGAAGTATTTTGCGTAGACAACTGTTAATAAACACTTGCATCTTCTGAATGATGGCTTTCGTAGTTCTCCAGGTTTCTGCCCCATACAGTAGAACTGTCTTGACATTTGTATTGAAGATCCTGACCTTGGTGTTGGTTGACAGTTGCTTTGAGTTCCACGTGTTCATCAGTTGTAAATATGCTGCCCTTGCCTTGCCGATCCGCGCTTTCACATCTGCATCAGATCCACCCTGTACATCAATGATGCTGCACAAATATGTAAAGGCTTTTACATCTTCCAAATCTTCTCCGTCAATTGTGACTGGATTGGTGCATGCTGTGCTGTATCGGAGAATCTTACTTTTCCCTTTGTGTATATTGAGATCTACTGCTACTGAGGCTGCTGCCACACTGGTCGTCTCCTACATTTGTTGTTGCGATTGCGATAGGAGGGCCAGATCATCTGAAAAGTCTAGATCGCCCAGCTGCATCCTGGATGTCCACTGTATCCCGTGCTTCTCTTCAGATGTTGACGTCTTCATGATCCAGTCGATCACCAGGAGAAAGAGAAAGGGTGAGAGTAAGCAACCTTGCCTAACACCGGTTTTTACTTCGAACGACTTTGTCAACTGTCCTCCATGTACGATTTTGAAGTTTAATCCATCATATGAATTCTGTATGATATTGACTATCTTCTGAGGCACGCCGTAGTGTCGAAGAAGTTGCCATAGTGTTGGTCTGTCTACGTTATCAAATGCCTTTTCGTAGTCAATGAAGTTGATGTAGAGTGATGAATTCCATTCAATTGATTGTTCCACGATGATCCGTAGAGTTGCGATTTGGTCTGTACACGATCTATCCTTACGGAATCCTGCCTGTTGGTCTCGAAGTTGGGCGTCTACGCAGTCCTTCATCCTGTTTAACAATACCCTGTTGAAGACTCTTCCCGGTATTGAGAGAAGAGTGATGCCCCTGTAGTTATCACACTTGCTGAGATCACCTTTCTTAGGCATTTTGATCAGAAGTTCTTCTTTCCAGTCTGTTGGTACTTGTTCCTCATCCCAAATCTTATTGAAGAGAATGTGGAGTATCCTTGCAGTTACCACTATGTCTGCTTTTAGTGCCTCTGCTGGAATGTCGTCTGGTCCTGCTGCTTTGCCACTCTTGATTTGCCTGATGGCTATGCTTATCTCTTCAATTGTTGATGGGCCAACATTGATTGGGAGGTCCGTGGGTGCTGATTCGATGTTGGGTGGGTTCAGTGGGGCTGGTTGATTTAAGAGTTCTTTGAAACATTCTACCCACCTGTTTCGTTGCTCTTCAATATTGGTGATTACCTTGCCTTCCTTCCTTTTCATTGGTCGTTCTGGTTTGCGGCGATTTCCAGAGAGTTTCTTTGTCATGTCATACAGTTGTCTCATGTTTCCCTCTCTTGCAGCCTTTTTTCGCTGTCATTGCTAAATCTTCCACATATTTACATTTGTCGGTTATGGTGCTTCTCTTCACCTACTTGTTTACTTCTTCGTATTCAGCTTGTGCCTTGGATTTTTCTGCTCTTGTTCGGATGGTATCGATTGCTTCCATCTTGTTCCTACTTTCTTGAATCTTATCCAGTGTATCAACAGTGATCCATTCCTTGTGATGGTGCTTCTTGTGGCCCAGGACCTCATAGCATGTTGAAATGATTGCCTCTTTGATCCCCTTTTAGTTTCTCTTCATAGTAGTTCCTTCTCCATTGAGTAGATCATGAAAGGCCTGGAACTTATTGCTGAGAGCTATCTTGAATTTGTTGAGTTTGTCAGTATCCAGAAGGAAAGCCGTATTGAACTTTTGTGATATTGTCCGCCCCGTTGTCCAGTACCTCTCGAGTTTCAATTTCATCTTGGCGACCAGCAAGTGATGATCTGATGCTATATCAGATCCTCTCGTGGTTCGCACGTCTTTCATCGTCCTCCTGAACTTTTTGTTGATGCATATATGGTCGATTTGGTTTTGCGTGGTTTGATCCGGTGAAGTCCATGTGATTTTGTGAATGCGTTTATGTGGGAATATATTGCCGCCTATGACCAGTTTATTGAAGGCATATAGGTTTGAAAATCTCTCACCATTTTCTTTCCTTTCTCCCAGTCCGTGTCGTCCCATGATGTCTTCATATCCGGTGTTATCCGTTCCAACCTTGGCATTGAAATCTCCCATCAGAATGGTCTGGTCCTTTCTGAACCAATAAACTGAGGTCAAAGCTATGTAACAAGCACAAACATTACAAAAATTGACATGTGACGGAAAAAATGCTGTTAATAGCTGGTAAATAACGACATTCAAAACCCTTGACGTTATGCAACATGCGCGCAAGAACCTGTAACTTGACTTCTTCATCGTCACCCGGAGCAATTGAATTATGAAATGGCCGCCTTATATCTGGCCATTCAAGGACGTTCAAACGAAACGGCGGTCGGCTTCTAGCGAACCTTTCTTTTGCCGTCCCGATGAAGCAAGTTGTTGTTTTGGGATGTGGTGCCTGGAGCACAGCTATTGCTAAAGTTATCGCCGATAACGTCGCGTCTTCAAATGAGTTTTGTAGTAAGGTGAGTTTGTCAGAATATTCCGATATTCAAATGGCTTTTAGATCGCTATGTATGTACGTGATGAAACTCACAATGACCGAAATTTGGTTGATTATATCAATAACGATCATATAAATCCAGTATATTTGCCATGTATTACTATTCCTACTAATGTCGTAGCAAACAGTAATATCAAAGAAGTTGTTTCAGATGCTGATATCATAGTAGTTGCTTATCCATCTCGATATATACAGTGGTTAATAAAACAAATGAATGGGCATGTAAAAGAAAATGCCTACTTCGTCTCCTTCTGTAAAGTGAGTTTCAGGCAATATTATTAATTTTCTTGCTTGGTTCACGATCAATGTTATTCTAGGTATAAGCGTTAGTCTTTATGTTTACGTTATAATGAAGCAGTAAAATATTGTGTTGATATTTAGTTTTTTTCATGCCACTTTGTCTAGCATTTAGTTGCTCAAGTGCTCACATTAACTGGGTGACATGTACACAGACTTAAATATCTAAATTCGTTAAAATAGTCCAGATCGTCCGACGAACCAAAGATTACCTACTAAATAAGAACTTTGAGAGTTTTTGGTTTCTTAGGACTGTTTATTTGCATCTAAACTTCCTGGTAGTCTATCTTCTGTACATTTCCATTTCTTGCTGTATAAATTCTATTTACATTGATTCCGAACCACTATCTTTCAGGCCTAAAAGACGTATCGGTACGTTTTGCTAGTATACCGTTAAGTTTATTATCCAACATGAATCTTGGCTTCACTATGTGTCATTGCATTGTTTGAGATTTCGGGTCTTTTTAAGATTGGTTTTTGTGCCAATGTGTATTGCGGTATGATAAAGATTATGTCTAATATTTTGACTGACCTATTGTTGTTGTTGCTCAAGGTCTATGGAGATTTTTAAACGTTTCACAGATCCGAGAATTCCTGTATGACTGTAAAAGTAACTGTTGCTGATGGTCAAAAATCTTCGGAAATACTCACTGCAACAAAAAGATTTTAAAATATACATGCACTTATTAGGTCAGGAAAGAGAACTAATATTTCGAGGTTGTAGTGTGAAACATATTACTTTCAAAGTTTTTAATTCAAAATCAGTATCAGTACTTTGCTGCTAAAGTTTTTCGCTATGAAAGCAATAACGTACTATTGAACGAATACGACCTCCGTGTAAACATTGGTGGTATAGCTGAAAGTGTGCCTTTCTAATCTCATAGTACAACTTTAGTCTTGAGAAATGCCAATTTGGTTCTCTGCATTGAATATAGGGACCATTACTAAATCCAGCGATAACTAGTTGATATGTCTGAATCTGCGTATTCAAACTTAGATGAACACTAGAAAGAGTTGGAGGACTTAAAGTACTTGATGTAGCTTTCAGACTGAAGGAACCTAATAAAGTTTTTATGGAACTATATTAATCTCAGGTCGAAATACGAGACTGAATCTAAGAAACTTTTGATCGTTTGGTAAATCGTGTTGTTGCTAACTGTTGGGAAGCGAAAATGATTCATTAGTCTAACTAGTTGAATTACAATAAAAGTAAAGATAAATGAAGATCCGCATACCTTTTTCATGCGTGTCAACAAAGAAAAATGTTACATTGAGAAGTTAGTCGATCGCTTTACCCATCTGATGCATTTCATTAAACACATTGAGCACTTAAATTACAAACTACCAACAAAATACAGAACTTTGATCGACAGTGATTCTAATTTATCCCTTGGGATTTCACTATGGGATTGTCAGTCCTTATCTTTAAAGGTGCTTTGCTCATAAATGATAAGTGCTTAACCATAAGTGTTATTGAAGCATCTTTAAGGCGGAAAATGTTTAGAGTCCAAACGATAGAGCCAAAATTTTGACACCGCGGTCCAGCAAATTCGCCGTTAAACAGTATATTATTCAGTTATGCATTTTGATTTTCGCTTATTAATTTTTGCTATAGAAGACTTTAGTACTTTCTGTTTCAAATTCGTTCCACAAAAATTAGCTTAGAGCAAATAGTTATTGTTCCACGCTTCATATTTTTTGTCTGTCTATTGGCAATTAATTGATCACGGGGTAGTAATCGGTTTTATGCTTCTTTAATTGTTCAGTTCTGTTCGGATCCTGTCAATTAAGTTGCATGTAACTATTAGTTTAAGTGAATCGACGTCTCATGCGCTCATCTGAAACGCCTTATTGAAGAGTAACAACTAGTAAAAACCCAGATCCAGGATTTCCTACCTACTAACTCCAACCATGTAACATCTCATGGTGCATAAGATATCAAGTCACCTAGACTAGTGACAACATGCAACTTAGTCGATGGAGTTCTATCATCACTGAGGGACTAGCGAAACATGACATTGATCACTAATCAATAACCAACCAGTTGTAAATATCTTGGTCCTTCACAAGGGTAATTTTCGGAACGATGTCTCAAACTGTGAGGCTGGGTGATGTTAGTTTAAATTCCTCTGGTTGACGCATCGATTCCTTCGAAATTGCATGCATATATTACTAACTAGTAACAACTAGTGTAGAATCTAGGTTCAGGGTTTCCTACTCACAAACTTCAAACACCTAACATTTGTCTGCCCGAAGTTTATGGCTTTGGAGAATATTGTTGTTAAATCATTAGTTACGACATTAGGTAATTGTATTTTTATTGTTAATCTGGCTTAACTGAAATAATTATTTTTGGTAAATGAGCTTTCATTAATCTTAGGTTGATTATGTCAATATTTTAGTCTAATAGCTAGTTAAACTCGTATTGTAAATAGTTTTTTGCTCACTTGGACAACTAATTTAATTTAGATTACAACTTATAGCGTCTCATAATACTTATATAGATCCACTATCCATGTAGTACAAAAAGGTGAAATGCAAAAAAGTCTAATTGAATGGATTTATTTTGCGATACAATACTCTTTCCCATAAATCGCTTTTTTTCTCATAATTTCTCGTTATTTCTCTTTTTAATCGAATGTAGGGTCTTGTTTTGTATTCAGAAGAAAATCGAGTCAAACTAGTGAGTGATATGATTCGTGAGCAAACTGGTAAAAGTTGTGTTGTTGTCAGTGGAGCTACAACAGCTATAGAAATAGCTGAACAACAATTCACCGAAGTAACTATTGGTGCTAAAAATTACGATCATGGAAGTGAAGTAAAACGATTGCTTCAGGTAATATGATATTTCACAGAGAAAATTGATTGCTATCCTAAACTCAATAAGCAAATTAAGAGGTTTGGTTGATATTTTTAGCTTGTGGACTAACTATAGTTTCTGTAAGCACTTTATTTAATTATTAAGAAGCTAATCTTATAAGGTGTCGAAGCATGGTGTTTAAGGCTTCGTTTAACTGCTATAAACTAAATTTATTTGTTCAAATAATCACCACTAAAACCTGAAAGCACTGGAAATCCCTTTTTATCCTGGCGGTGGACCCCCCGGCAGTGTGCATCCACGACCTTATATGTGGGAGTCGGACCCAGGACTTCTGGTCTCGCACACGAACGCTTAACCTCCAGATCACTGAGGTGGCATCCAAGCTTTTCAGTAGTGGTCTTACTTAGATTGGTCCATGATTTCAACCCAATTTAACGATCTCTACAACCCCATACTGACAAAAATTTCTTTCGACTGGTGAATTGAACTACTGAAATAATTTTTTTCTAACACTATCGATGTGCTAGTGCAGAAATCTACAAATGAATATTTTATTATGTTAGAGAAGAACAAACAACCATATTCACATCAAATGCTTCCATAATTAGATGTACAAGAGTTATTTATTTGTTAATAAGTTTACTATTGATAGTTATGCTGTCCAAAGTATAATTAGCCTTTAAAATATTGTAATATGATATGAAATTTGACCTAATTTTCTGATGGTCGTATATTTATTATATTCTACTCAGAACGTTGGTTGTTGATTGAATGTCAGTAAATAAAACATGAGACTTTAGCGATATTTCGTTTCATGAGTATCTGTGAGCAAATGGAACTGTATTTTCCCTCTTTCTTAATCACAATCAGTGCGACCATCGTCACAAACAAAATGCATACAGCCCCAAAGTGCCCTTGTACGGCCAAGGATGGGGAGAGTCAGCTCTCCCTCTCGAAATGCTCTCACATGGCCAGATGTATAGAGCTAATGACAGAAAAATCCTACTCACTTCCTTCTCGCGGCAGGGGTGTTGTTTACGAAATTTCGAGGATGGAAAGCGAATGTCTGACGTTTTAACCGGGTTGGTGGATACGGAGAATCCACCTAACGGAGTTGGAAAACCCTGATTCTAGACCAATGGTTCATATCGGCTCCAGGATTCTGGTGGAAAAAATGGAGTATGAACTTATCGTTGATCACCAGTTACCATGGGACTGGACCTCCTTGCGTTGCTCCATTGCCTTGCGGATCAAATTATTATCTATTTATTTATTTCAACACATAAATATTGGTACAAGAATGCGCCACACAAAACAATGAGAATTTAAAGGGAAGGAAAAGAAAAAAAAGAATAATAACTAAGAGATTGATGTAAGATGGTGTAATAATAATCATGGTAAAAATGGGGGAACGGAAAGGTACAATCAGAAGAAATCTTTCAGTTAAAGAAGACACAACCACTTTTTATGAAGAAAGTAAAAGAAGATTACAGCAGAATCGCCACTGGCTTCTATTCTGAGCCATATCTGATAACGTCTCTAGCCACTGTGTCGCACCATCTCTCGGACCCCAGCCAGGGAGTCGTGAAGGACCAACACAAGCCAGCCCTTTGCAGCTTTCTTTCATACCACGACACCATGTCATACACTGACCACCTCTCCGCTTTTTACAACCAGTCCCAGAGTCCGCAAATAATGAACGACGTGGAATTCCCTGAGACGACATTCGTAGAACATGTCCAAGCCACCGAAGTCGGTGTTTCAAGATGGTGACACCAATCGGATTATCGTCACTCGGCCCGAACACACGATGCCGAACCTCTGCATTACTAACATGGTGTTGCCACTGAATGTCAGCAATCCTTCGGAGACAACGATGATCGAACACAGAGAGTCGTCTAACATCCTCAACTCGGAGAGGTCAGGTTTCACAAGCATAGAGCAAAACTGCTCTCGCTGACGCCACCACCAGCACTTATGCAGCTACCCAGATACACGAACTTCTCGACCACTTCTATCTGCTCACCATCCAGAGTGAGTACAGGATTAGAATCCTGCCAGTCTTGTAAAAGTACTTTGCACTTCGAATGTGCAAAGCACATACCATAACTACGGACGCTCATTGAATGCGGATTGCATGGCTTGGGCATTATCACTCAGTAAGACAATATCATCCGCATACTCAAGGTCGAGAAGTCTTTTTCCAGGCAACAGATCCACACTGTCATTACTTACATCCATCAGAGCTGTTTTAAGAATTTCGCCGATGGCAAAGTTGGAGAGGAATGGTGAGATTGGGCAACCCTGTCTAACCTCACTGCTCGAATGGAACAATGGAGAAAGGTGGTTGTATGCCCTCACTCTGCCTGAGGTGTTTGTATATAGGGCTTTTAGGATGTTAATAAACTTCTCAGGCACACCCTTCTTCAATAGAAAATCCCAGAGAACAGCCCTGTCCAACGAATCGAAGGCAGCCGTGATGTCAAGAAACACTACGATTGTTGGCCTGTGATAAGTATGGCAGTGTTCTAACATTTGGCGGAGGGTGAAAATATGATCAATACATCCTCGACCAGAACGAAAACCAACCTGATCCCCGCAAGTCAATCTTTCTCGGGTTTCGAACAACCTACGAAGTACGACGGAAGCCAATAGCTTGGACGCAATCGGAAGTAGACCTATCCCCCGATAGTTGTCACAGGAACGACGTGAACCCTTTTTAAAGATAGGGACAACTATCGACTCATTCCATGACATTGGTACACTCTCTAGCTCCCAAACCTTTGTAAACAACGTCGTCAATTCCTTAGTCAGAAAGTCACCACCATCTTTAGAAAGAGCCGGAGGTAAGTCATCTGGGCCAGGTGATTTGTAGCGCTTCAAGAGATGGAGTTCCTTGCTGAATTCCGCCTCATTTAGTGGATCAGTCGTCACCGGCCATGGAGGGCAGGACAATCTGACCGATGTTGCCGGAGCAACAGGCCAGTTGAACTGTCCTTCGAAGAATTCTGCCCATCGTCCAAGACGTCGATGGATGTTGGTGATTGACATCCCGTCATCCTTACAGATTGTTTCACTCACACCAGACTTCGTGTTGCCAGTGGCTTGGATGAGTTGGAAGAGCTTCCGGTAGTTACCAGATGCAACTGCTGTTTCCAGCTCATTAGCACGCTCCGACCACCAGGCTTTTCGGTCCTTACGCAAGCTTTGCCCGATTTCCTTACGTAACAGTCGTCGTTTGTGGTCAAACGCACGGTCACCCGGAGTAGACCGACGGGCTTCGATGAGTTGTACGGAGCCTGAAGAAACCCGGTGCAATCTGTCAGGGCATAGACGGAGATGACGAAAATACATCGTTTCTCACGCCGATTTCTTCTCACTTTGATGGAACTCTCTAATCTAACAACACATAGCCGACTGTTAATGGGGATCCAATCGATTAGTGCTACCTCAGCTCTAGCGCTTAGTGCGACACCAACGCCAGCAAGACCAGACGAAGATGCCACAGGGTCTCCGGATAAACGCACGTAAAACAAGCTTTTCGAAGCAACAGATGGAGAGGGGATTTGTAGTACTTCACTAAAGTCTTGAATACGGGTTTTGTATAGACAACAAACGTCGATATTAAGACTTTTCAAAGACTTAGCCAGCCCTATCTTTTGTCCAACCTGCATAAGTGTGTGGAAGTTGAAGGCAGCCAGTTTGTATGGTGCACGTGGTTTCAGAAAAACTGCTTCAGTACTCATATTCGGTGGTAACATACAATTTTCAACTAGGCCACTGCCTAGATAGAGTCGAATATCCACCAAAGACGAGCTGCTGTATAAGTCGAAAAAATAAGTATAGACAGAGTAGGAATAAAAGAGGGTGAATAATGTCGTAGTAAATAATAATAATAATAATAATAATAATAATAATAATAATAATAACAGTGGTAATAATAACAATAATAGTAATGATAATAATTTGAATCATTTGATTGTTATTCGAAGCGAGAAAAGTAGTTTCCATAGATATAGAGAGTTCATCATTTGCGTGTGGGCTGTGATACTGCCCGGGTGCCCAAACCGAAGCAGGTGGTTTTCTTAGGGGGCCACACCCCGAGCCTTTGACCTATAGGTCTAACCCACAAGGCAGTGGAGGATCGTGAGGAGATGCAGTCCCATGGTAGCCGGTGACCAACGATTGATTCATACGCCATTTGTTCCTGCAGGATACTGGAGCCCATGCGCACCATTGGTTTGGGATCCGGTTAAAGCGCCGGACATTCGCTTTTCGTCCTCTGATTTTTGTAGACAACACCCCTGCCACGAGAAGGCAGTGAGTAGGACTTCCCTGGCAGTGTTTGTATACGCGTGGTCATGTAAAAGCATTTCGAGAGGGAGAACGGGCCCATCCCACTCTCGGCCATACCAGTGCATTTGGGGGCTTTTTTTTATTTAGACTATATAAGCTACTGTTATGATCCATTAATCCGATCCATTCACAATATGCGCTCCCTATTGTTTATCCAACCGGGTATAAAAGTGTGACAACTAGGTATGCTTTAAAAACTTTAATGCCGAAATTGAATCAAGGTGTACGTAACTCATAGGTATATATGTGTATTTTTACTGACTCAGACATGGACATATAGTTCGTGATCTTAGATGACTAATTTACTCACAATGAGCTTCTCCAGACTTACATCTGTCACCTACCATATTCCTTGAAATAACACATAACCTATCTGGAATAGCAAGGTCAACCACTTCTCCCTTTTTGAAAGTTTTCCTCTTTGGATGCATTCAAAATTTTGGCATATGAGATACATTTAATCTTGGTGTTTAAAATATAAATTAGTAGAATAGAGTTTAATATTTCATCCAAAACTATCAGTCGTAGTCAAATGGCTAACACTTTCCGTAAAGCAATGAATTAGTCTACTCATTTAGTTTAAAAAACGACCTCAACACTTTGAAACGTTTTTTTATCATCTTGTCAATCAAATTATAAAATTACATCGATATTCTTCGAGTCTCGCATGCGGGGCCGTGGATTCGCTCCGCTGATAAGTCTCATACTAAGACGAAACGGCTGTCCAGTGCTTCCAGGTTTTCATTGGTAGTCCAACATTGATCGGTTCATGATTTCAATTAAATTCAATAACCACAACTCCATACTGAAAATTATCATGTGTTCACAAATGATTACCTTCGATAGGGAACTCTCAGAGTCCTAGTGAGAAGTCGTGATCAGTGGAGTTCAGCCGTGTCGAGCGTGAAGCAGCTGCCCACCTAAGACAGTGGAAGATGGTAGCGAGATATCGTGGATTGGTTGAAGCCAGACATTAACACTGTTGGTTGCCAGCTCAGTGGTCTAGAGATTAAGCGTTCGCGCGAAACCGAAGGTCTTAGGTTCAAGCCTCGGATACAGAGTTGTGGATGCTCATCGTTGAGCATTCAATCACATTAATATTTCTCTAATTGGAAAGTTTCGATACTTCTAAATCTTATTTTAAAAAGAAAACCTCCGCTTTCTCTGATTCTGGGTCCTTTTTTGGTGGAGATAGGGTCGCAGTAGATTTAATTCCTAAAAGCAACAGTCCTTTTTTCATGATGAAATAACGCGAACGCACATATACTTAGGGGGCTGTATGTACACATATGAAGGAAAAAAAATTGTTGAAGAAAAGAGTGATTGCTTGCTGTTGCTGAGATTTTTCCGTCTTTGATATCCATGGCTACATTCAATCAAGCTGTTGTAAAATATATATGTTGAGTAGATACCTCGATATTGCAAAAATGCAAGGTTTTAGAATATTTTCGGGTCGTGGTGAAATCCAGAACGCACATCACGTCCTATTCGGGACTTGCCAATCAGATATCCGCTTAATGTGTACGTATACCATTAGAGAATGATCGATTTCAATCTTTAATCTCAACAGTGGGAAAATACAAACCCTTACAAATAACCTTATACTTATTGAAAAAGTCAATGGCGTGCTGGAGTCAGTGGTCTAGTGGATAACGGGTTGGTGTTCGGATTATTAGGTGTTTGACTCAAGGTTAAGTATGAACATCAACATTTGGATGTATATACGTATAACTGAGGAGTCTCAAATAGAACGAAACGCGTATCATATGTTTCATTGTTGGCTATGATCTCAAAGTATGCTAAAGAATAAGTGTCTCGGATTGACTGAACTAATTGTTCAGTGTGATACAATTACATATTGATCAAAGTGTTATTTGATTTAGTAGTACTATTCGGTAAACAATCGCTATTCTACTTAGGTATTCGGTTTTTAGGCCAGTTTTTATTGGGCTTAATAATACTACTTAACTATCCGGATCGAAAACATCTGATTGCGGATTCGACACTGTACCAAACAAAACATTGTTGTAACATTTATGATTAATAAATGTTTGATATGTAGTTAGTACTCATCACAGATTGGTTTCATTTAATGTGAAATTAGAAACCAGGTAGTACTGTAGTGTTGAAGAACACAGGTGAAGACAACCGATTATATTTAGCACAAAATTACAGAATTACCTGATAAAATAAGAAAATTATACTCTAATACTTCATTTGCAGAATGTTTATTAATTGTCTCAGACTTCATTGTTTCTGCATTTCCATACCAATTGCTTTCTGTTCTCATTCTTCCCTCCTCGATATTCTCAACCTTCTGCTGCCAGAAACTCTGTTCCTAAATAGCGTTATATACTACTTATGTTGACATATGTTCACCAACAGTATGTACCCACTACTACACCAAGTACCGAAACCATGATGTGCAAGTCTCCAAATTTAATCGATCACCAAAAAATCCCGAGAATTAAATGTTTAATATATTTTGACAGTAATAGTAATCGAGTCAATTATCAGTTAAAATGTGACCTACATAACTACGGAATGACATTTTTAAAAAAATTGTAAACATATTAAAGTTATGCATTTGTTTGCCTAAAGTACTTTGTATTTCTCCCGTACACATTTTTCTCTGAAGATCGTCTATATTGTTTAAATTTATCAAGCTTTTTTTTGTAAACATTTAGACAAATATATTGATTTCAACTTTCTGTCTAGATTATTTCCGCTAAAACTGAAGCTATTAGATTTATCATAATTTCCTAGATATCTAGATTTTTTATTTTCAGTTGTGAATTGTTAATGAAAAATTTGTACTAAAAATTTTCCGTTTCAAGCAAGCGGTCTGAAGTTTATAAGCACTCACTGTCAGAAGAAATGAATGTCCTTGGTTAGATCCACTTACTGGGGTTGTAGATGCGCACCACTGAGGAGTCTCGTAATAGAATAAAACAGCTGTTCAATATTTCCTGGTTTTCAGTGGTTGTGTAGTTAGGATCAGTTAGTAAAAACTGTTTCTTTTTTCATCTAGTTTGTTGGAGTGGTGTCTCAGTAGTTAAGATATTCAACTTTCAGCCACCAATTAGTGGATTTGAATCCCGTTTAACCTAATTCAGTTTGGGTAACCAGGTAGTGCTACATGCATTCACATTTTCAATAAGGCTTGATACCACTATTTGAGTTAATGGACTTTATGTAACATTATCTGTTGCATTATTCCTTCTTATGCAATAATACTTATTGAGCCTTGTTGTGTGTTTTACTTTTTTTGTCTCAATGTAGACAAATTACTTAAGAATGGTGATTACACAGGATGATGTTGGAGTTGAATTATGTGGCGGTATCAAACATGTTGTAGCAATCGCTGCAGGTATCTGTGATGGTCTAAAGCTAGGAGATAACACCAAATCTGCTGTACTTCGTATTGGATTCTGGGAAATGTCTGAACTGATGAAAGAGCTATTCCCCGATAGAGGTTTGTTTTCGTGTAGTTTGCTGATAGTTAACTATGATAATTGTTTTTAGACTATATGTTCGTTTTATAAGCAAAGATGCACGGTGGCTAGCAGTGGAATCCAGAACGCGCGTCTCGCCCACTGCTAGCTACTATCCATCTTTGCTTGTAAAGCTTGTGACAACGCAATATCGAGGCAGTCCGCACATGATGCATGTATGCCAACAAGTGACTGATCAATTGCAGTCCTTAACAACAATGAGAAGATACAAGCAAATAATACCAAGTGAATTTCTGTTCGTCTAGTGAATAACCTTTGATATGATTACTCTTTTTTAGGATGTTCCATGTTTTTAACATATCAGTCGATCTAATCTCATGATTTTAAAGATCTCATCTAGAAAGTCTTGACGCATCTAATAGTTATAACCGTAACACAATTTCATTTTATTCCTTATCGCCACATTACGGATGCATCGTCTCTTCGCTTTATGTAGCGATTTCTAATAGTAATATATTTTTGCCTTTTTAGCTCCTACTTGGATAGTACATATAACATACGTTCAATCCATCAAAATGGATGTTTTTGGATGATTTGATTTGCACTCAAAAATAATTTCCACCACTTTCATATACCACCAGCTCTTATGGTCTGTTTTCATTGAATTTGTGAAATCTTGTTTCGACTTCAATAACCAGAAGTGACGATCAGTTAGTAAATATCATGCATTTTGCAACACGCTGAGTAGTGGTTATTAGGAGTAACTGTTAACTCCTTGTTCTCAGTTTTACAATTTGAAATCCTAATTTTATGTGACATCATCCTATTGTCGGACTAAAATTCTTATTCTTCACAATTAACTTGCACTTTATTTTATTGTCTACCTTAATTTTTATTCTGTTATTATGTTTAATGTTTCCTAAGACCAGTTACAAACTATTTATGTCGATGTATTATTTTTATATTAATAATATGAACCTTGTAGCGAAATATCAGTCTTATAGTCTGTTTATTATGAACTTGTGTTAGCTAGTATTGCTGCCTGATTGTCTCTTTGCTTAAATAGGTTCGTATAAGTCGTTGAGTCAGTGTTCTGACTCTGAATTTTTGGCCATCTAGAAAGTTACATATGATGTGTTAAATACTATTCTTTTTATGTTACATAGTTTAAAACTTTTTCCGAGTTCATAGCATTGCTACAAATTCTCAGTCATTTCCTAGTCAATTGGAGAACGTCTCTTACAGGTGGATAGTTTGCGGGAAAAAAATCCCATAATGTTAAGAAGTGTGAACAGATTTACATAATTAATGGATTGTTTAACGTCTTCCATCGTTTACTCTGCCTACCAATTAAAAAACGACATAAGGTCGTCGTTATGTATGCATAGGTTATTCGTCTTCTCGAACCCTTAGAAAAACAAACAGATCTTTCAGAATCCCCACATCATTCTTAGGATTAGAGTTTCCGTCGCAGAATGATATCAGGTATGATGAGGAAGTGGCATGCAGCCATATGGATGAGTGGATTACGCGCGAAATCTCCGAGTGACGTTATCTGATCAGTTCGTTAATAAAATATAAGGGCACTAAGTAAAGGTTTTGTTTGTTAAGTGTTTAGGAATAGCGTCAATTTGTCTCTTATACATATTCTACAAGGACAGAATTTAGCATTTGATATATTTAGCACTATCAGTTTTACTCAATGGTGACAAAAAAACAATTTTCCACTATCATTTGAAACGTTTTGATCAGCATACAAAGGTATTTTTAATACTCATTATATGTGATATTTCAATTTCACACAATAACCTAAAAATCGTATTCTGAATTTTGACCGCCTCGTCCTTATACATTAGTTTTACTTATAATGTCCGGTAATCTGTTATGTCCTGATAAGAATAATGAGTGGTAATTTTTGGGATCCATTGTGGACCAATACTAAACGTATATTTTTATTGTATAATTGTTAAATAAGTAAACTATTCATATTCATATTCCTCTCATTATAAGCTTTATTTCGACTTATGAACCATTATTATACGTTTTACCATTCTTGAATTATGCCCTGTCTATTAGTCACTGCCTCCCACATTTGGCCAAATTTTGTACAAATGTTATTTTCTACTTTATGGTACGTTGTGGTCTGTTTGATTGGTATATAAACCGAGTATGTTCGAAATACATGTTTCATATCGCAGAGGCTGGGATTGATGTTCTGAACTTAACTGGCTGGGCTAGACGGAAAGCAGGACCAATCAGAACTCTAGACTGCTCATACGGGTTTACACGTTATTGATCCGATCGATAAGTCACTGCTGTTTAATCGGCGGTCTCAAGTTATAATTCACTGAAGCTGTCGATCGTATGACTGATGGCTTTTCAAAATTCTTTACTTTATCTTCCTGTCTCTTGAATGATTGATGACTATAATGTAAATTCATATTACAAGGACAAGGATTATTATTCGTACTATTATTCTTCGTTTTATATGTTGCTCAAAGTACGTGTTTATTGCTAAGATAGATAGATGTATGTAGGCAGAAGATGGGAAATCAGAAGTAGCGATTTCACTTGTTCAAAAGATGCACATTCATTCCGATAAGTTTATTGACCCATCGCATATCCCTTGATGAACTCTGAAAAGTTATGGAATTCATTGGGAATTACTTTATTTGTATACACTTTTTCCCCTTCATAAACCTCAAATTATGCCTTTTATCTGTATGAAATCTATTTTTGTGATGTTCTAGTCAAGCTATACTATAGTTCTACACAAATAGTGATATTTAATCACTTGTATGATTTCCTGTTGTTACGGTCCGCGACTTCCAATTGAGATACACGTGCTTTTTGTACACTTGCTTTTACTAGTGAAGTGACTGAAAAAGCTGATAAATAACTACGATATTTTTAATTTATGAAACCTGTAAAATAGATACATAAATTGAACCAAAGATAAACTCAAATCCCACTCGCAACTTTGTCACACGAGCTAACCACCAATCAGAATCGAACAAAATTCACCATTTCTACCATCTCGGTAAACCATGACGGATGGCGCTTTTCGTCCTATGTACTTTTTCACTGACTTTTTAGTGTTATAATATTTAATGTTTCAGCGTACCAAAATTTTGTTACTTATATGGCATGTTAAATTTTGGGGATAATTTTCTCTACTAGATTGAGTATTTTCTCGGCTTCCAACTGTCATGTCAGTGCATACTTCCTAGCATGCTTACGTGTTTTGTGTGACTTAGTACTAGTCCAATTAAAGCTAGACCACCATGGAAAACGCGGAAGCACTCGACGACCGTTTCAATCGACTCATGATCTCAACTATTGAAGTTACTACAATCTCCACAAAACCCCTTCTGATACTAATCAACATATGCTCACTAGTGACCGGCTTCAAGAGGTATATCCTAGAGTTCTAGTGAGAAGCAGCGACCAGTGGAGTTCAACTGGGTCAGTTGTGAGATAATAACTCACTGATGATAATGGTGGATGTGTCGCTCAATTTCGTGGATTAGTTGAAGCTAGACATTAACAACGTTGGATACCGGCTCAGTGGTTAAGCGCTCGCGCGCGAGACTGATAGGTCCTGGGTTAGAATCCAGCAAGGCGGGGTCGTGGATGCGCATTGCTGAGGAGTCCCACGATAGGATGAAACGGCCGTCCAGTGCTTCCAGGTTTTCCATGGTGGTCTAGCTTCAATTAACTCATGATCTTAACTATTGAAATTACTACAATCTGCACAAAACGCCTTCTGATACTTTGTCGGTTTGTCAAGCCGATTAAGTAGTATAACTGTGCCCTTCATACATACCGTGTAGCTCGAAATAGGCGTGTTTAAAAATTACTTATCGAGATGTTACATTAAATCATTGAATTCACGTAAAAGCTTTCTCAATTGATTTTTATTTAGGTTGTTTGTTTGTTTTTCACTATTTCTCATTGAAACAGAAACTATTTTAAAATTAAAACACGAATTTCAGCGAAGGGATCTCTTTTCAACGAATTTATTATCAAGCTGTACAATCGTATATATATGAAAATTTTGTTTTTGTAAAAGTACTAATTCCGTGAGGAAATGTGAACACAACTAATAAAAAAGGTTATAATACAAGATTACGTAATATGAATAATAACAATATTAATAGATTTAGTGAATGTAACAAGGTGATTAAAATGTTTTTTGTCATAATAATTAAAGGTCATAGAGGTGTAAAAAATAATAAATAAGGTGATATGATGAGTATTTACGAATAAAACAATGAGAATATAAGACCTAAGTAAAAGGGAGAATGCAGTAATAATAATAATAATAATAATAATAATAATAATAATAATAATAATAATAATAATAATAATAATAATAATAATTGGATAATCAAAATGCTTAAGGCCAAAGTAACGATAACGATAAGACGTACTTCTTTTGTACGCATAGTTCTGGTTTAAGCTCCTGGGTGGTAAGAGCTTCGGCTATTTTTAAGAGTTGGATACGAAGAAATCTGGGTAGATTTGAACGAATCATATAAACAACCTTAAAGTCAATTTGTGGATCTGTTGAATGGTTATGGTCGATCAGGTGTTCAAGTATAGAACTCCTAACTGCTTTTCTTTCACCCTTATAGAATAAAACTGGGATATGTTCCCGTATCCGAGTTGAAAGCGAGCGCTGGCTACGGCCAATGTACCTTGCTCCATAAAAGCAGGTGAACTGGTAGATGCACATGGAGGCGACCAGATGCGGAAGCTTATCTTTTATGGATACAGAAATTTTTGATTACTTCTGATGTTCGATCACCTTTAAATTCCAGACTTATATAAAGGTTTTTCTTCGGAACGGAATAGCTAGGATTCTTGTCGTGACTACTTCTATTCATATTCTTAATTATTTTGATTATCCTATTATTATTATTATTATTATTATTATTTTTTATTATTATTATTATTATTATTATTATTATTATTATTATTATTATTATTATTACTACTACTACTGCATTCTCCCTTT